TTTTTCAAAGATTATCGAATGATCTGTTTCAATGGAAATACGAAACAAAATAGAGTATTTGAAAATAATCGATTATTTAAAATAAATGATAATTCGTCTATTATTTTTTGTAAACATTGATTTATCGGTTAATTGACTTTTTAATTAATCGATTATTTTTGATTTTTCAAAGATAATCAAGTAGTCGATTTTAAAGGAAATACGAAAAAAAATAGATTGTTTGAAAATAATCGATTCATCGAAAATAATCGATTATTATCAATTTATTTCGATAATCTCCCACCCCTAGCGATCAAATGACTTTTATTAGGTTTAAATTTTAAAATGTTATCTGGTTTCAGACATATACATTTCTAGAGTTTTATGTGACTCATCTTCTATATTAATTAATATTCCTAAAAAAAGAAGCTTTAATATACCTTTTATTTTCTGAGGTTACAATACAAAACAGCATTTTCTCATTTAGACTAATTTTTAATATTATGTCGTAGAAAAAATATAATGTTCAACTCACAAGGTTTGATTTGCGATATTCGCCTGCATGCTTTTTTTATAATACTCGTAGACAATGAGTACCATTTCTTGCTCGATTAACAAATTTCTATTTCAACATTTTACTGTAGTCTCTTGCAGAAAAGTTCGTAGTCAATAAACGCTAACAAAATATTCTATAAAAGGTCTTCCCTTTACATAAAATGTCGTAGCATCTATTTGATATTAAAAAAATCACGTTAATTTTATTTCATTAATACAAAATTCCATTTTTTTTTCGATTTATTGTCTAGGTGTATACAGGGTGTACCAATAAAAACTCCCAGGCCGGATATTTTGGTAAGTAATAGAGAAATTTTAATTCTGTAAAAGCCAGTTCACAGAGCACTAAGAGAGCTTCAGTTTTAGATATAAATTGATTTTAAATAAGTCAATATGTAGATGGCGCTGCGCTCAATAATTTCTTTTCGATGGGAGGATCTTTCTTGTGTAGCGCATCTTGTAAAAAATGCATTTTTAAGCTGATTTTGTTCTATGAACTAATTCGACAAATCGAGCCATTTTTGATATACAGAGTGGGTCACCTAAAACAGTTTCATCCTGTTTTTCAGCATTAATCATTGGATTTTATGAAAATGCTAAAACAGGTCGATTTTTATTCCAAATTAAAAACATTTTTAAAATGCAGACATGTCATGTGTCAACCCCCACCCTTGTACTTCTCCAGACCTAAATTTTAAATAGGTAATGTACCATGTATGGCACATCATTGAAAAGGTAATTTAATGGGGAATCCATAAATATTTCTATACATCGCGTTACTTAAATTTTATCGCCCTCTAGCGGGATAAAAAAATTACTACGTATTATAGAGTGTGATATTACAATGTGTAGTACATCATTAAAAAGGTAATTTTATGGGGAATTTAAAAATATGACTCTTCATTGAAATACTTTTAATTGTACCGCCCTCTATCGGGATAAAAAACTACGTATTTTAAAGTGTGACACCTTATTTGAAAACAAATTTAATTACTAATTCAGTGTACCACATAACATTAATTAATAACATAATATTAATATAAATATCCATATTGCACTTTCAATAGTTTGAAAATTAGTCATGCATTATTTTAAACCTTATTGCTAACTTTATTTTGTTGCAAGTGCAATATGGAAATATTTATATTAATATTATGTGGTGCGTTGAATCAGTAATTAAATTAGCTTTTAAATGAAGTGTCACACTTTATAATACGTTACAGATTTTTTATCCCGATAGAGGGCGCTAAAATTAAAAGTATCGCAATAAACTGTCATATTTCTGACTTCCCCATAAAATTACCTTTTTAATGATGTGCCGTACATGGTACATTCCTTATTTAAAATTAAGGGATTGGAGAAGTGGAAGGGAGGGGGTTGACACATGACAGATGTCTGTATTGTAAAAATGTATTTAATTTGGAATAAAAATCGACCTGTTTTGGCATTTTCTAAAAATCCAATGATTAATATCGAAAAACAGGATGAAACTGTTTTGAGTGACCCACTCTGTACATCAAAAATGGCTAGATTTATCGAATTAGTTCATAGAACAAAATTTGCTTAAACATGCATTTTTTACAAGATGCGCTACATAAAAAAAATCCTCCCATCGAAAAAAAATTATTGAGCGCAGCGCCATCTACATATTGACCTATTTAAAATCAATTTATATCTAAAACTGAAGCTCTCTTAGCGCTCTATGAACTGGCTTTTACAGAATTAAAATATCCCTATTACTTACCAAAATATCCGGCCTGGGAGTTTTTATTGGTACACACCCTGTATACCTAATATGCCAGTCTCAAGTTTGTGTTTTAAATTCTCAATCATGTGTGTTCTGTGTAGGCTTTGTTACTGTTTCCCAGCGCTACTTCAGGAACAGCACTGTTAATTAGAACCCAACAGTGAATGTTCGAGTGGGGAATCCTACCAAGGCATCAGAATTAATTTTAAATAATTAAATTTAATAAAAAAATCCCGGCCAATAGTGGGATTCGAACCTGAGACCCTTGAATCCACAGGCAGAGACTCTACCACTGAGCCACCCACCCCCCTCAAAATTCCATTAAAAATATTTTAAGTAAATCTAATAGTTTATCGTCACAGAGTTCGGGTCTCCACCCAGTTTCCCCATTTCGTTAACCTTTCTTTAGAAATTGGCAACATTTCCGCAGGTTAAACACCAGTGTATGTTATATTTCTGGTCTCTTTTATCTAAGGTAAGCATACATTCAGTGATTAGTGAAACAATTTAAAAACAGTACCGTGTACTGAATGGGGTTACTTTCATACCGGCGGATTATTTTGATTACAATTTCACTTATAGAGTTATTTACCTCTATCATTTTAATTTTTAAGTGAACCGGTCCCAACTAGCACATAAACATCCCATAAGCTGCAACTTTAAGCTCGCATATAATGTACTTTTATAATGTAACCCTAACATCCATGTAACCACCAAATGCCCGCACATCTCATAGAGGTTACAAAGTGAAGTTCGCAGAACATCACACTAGCAGTTTTACAGTACTCTCCGCTGAAAGTTATTCTAATTAGTTTTACATAATTATATAATTTAGTAATTACAATTTCACCCCCTTCCTGTTGATTGATCGATCTGAAATTTGATAAACATCTTTAGTTCTGATGACAATACAATTATGTGTATTCAGTATTAATTCAGTATAAATTCAGTATAAATTAAAGATGGCCGCCGCCACAAAATGACGGATTACATTTTTTTTCAACCCCCTCAATATGGGTATCAAATGAAAGGGCTTGACCTGTGGACCGATTAATCTGAAATTTGGTACACACCTTTAGTTCTGATGACAATACAATTATGTATATTCAGTATCATTTTTGTTTAACCCCCTCCATATAGGTATCACATGAAAGAGCTTGACTAATAGAATCATTGAAGTAGAATAGAGAGGAGATGCTATGACGATGCTAAAGTGTCTATACTATGATGACTAGAGATAAGGAGACGAATCGGCATACTCAAAATACGGTCACAAAAAACGCATGCTTCTATAAATAACCGCATGGGCGCTGGTTCTGCATACGGTGTTCAAAATACATGGCTTCTTATGGGAATTCTATATAACTTTGTTAAAATAATAAAAATAACCTTGTTTATAGCTAAATAAAGCACAGAAAATATTGTTGTATTTATTTTAAAATAAGTCTTGCATGTTTTAATTGATAAATTATTTAATTTTATCTATATAAAATACAAATTAGGTATGTATGACCAAATTCGAAAAGGTTTCTTAAATGCTGAAATTTGAGTAGTACAAAAGTACAATTTTGTGGTATTTTTTTTTTGAATTGAACCAATATATAGTTTTAAGAGTAAAATAAAACACAGTTAACAGATTTTTTATTGTTGTAATACAAGTATAAAGGGAGATTTGGGAATATACATGGTATTACCTCATCCTTTAATTTCAGCTTTCTCCTTTTTATTTTGCTAACAGTACCATCAGTAAAAATAGTCTCATAATATTTGATAATATCTTCTAAAAAGTATAGAACAGCATCATCTCTAGAAAGTGCTTTATCGGCACTAGGAACGATGTATATGCTATATGATAAAAAAATTACAGTAGCAACTTTTTATCTAATATTAAAACTTTATAAAAATAAATTTTATTTTCTAGTAAGTTAAATTTAATGCATAATTATTGTTTGTGTCATCATCTATAACAGTACAATTTTATATTATAGAAACTTATAATAAAATAAACTACACTTCATAAGATACATATTGTGACTAGTTGACAATAAATATTATATTTAGACATGAATACATTATTTTACTAACACTAGAAGCTTTAAAAAGACATTGAATTGATTTCTTCTTGTGTTTTCTTTTGTTTTACATTTGATTTTTATCGTGTTTTATAATCTGGAACGACGTAAATATTGCTTTGATGTTTTTTTGTCACTCATGTTACTTGTACTCAGGTATTTTTTTTCACATTATTTTGATTCTTTTCACCAATTTTTTTTAAAAATCACTTCATTTTACATTGACTTAGGACCGATTCCACCGTTGTGTTCGAAGTTTAAAATGACATTTTTACATTAACAATGTCATTTTAATCTCCGTTTAACACAACGGTGGAATCGGTCCTTGCATAGAAAATTGACTCCGCTGTCATTAGACATGCCAACTACAGTCAATTTCGCGAACTTTATAAAAAGAAGGACGGAAATTTGAAATTTGACCATTGCCGATTCGCCTCCTTTTCTCTAGTCTTCATAGTCCATACCTTTGCATTACACTTTTACGTCAATGTCAAACTCGAGATAGTGGAGCTAGTCAGTTGAGAGAAAATTATTGCCTATTATAAAGCATAACCCATGCATAACCCTGTAAAAATTGGTCAAAATATTTTAGTAATACACTATTTTTTACCAACAATAATTTCATGAAATTTGAAATCATCTTTCAGGGCTGATAAAAATAATAATAAGAAACTAGACAACAAAGAACTAGCACAATGGATAAGGCACAAAATTGTCGAGCACATTACATCCGCTGTTGGTAGTAATTACGAACTTTTCAATTTGATCGACATCAATCCAAGAAACGGTGTCATAACGTGGAAGGAATACCATACGTATTTTCTAAAGAAAAGGGGATTTAGTGATAAATATGTCGGCGATCATGATGAAAGAAGGCACAAAGGAATGCAACGATCGCTTAAAGGTGTAGTATTATGTTTATCATGTTCTGTCATTGCTTTTGTACTGTAAGTGTAAATTATTGAGTTGTTATATTTTATTGATTCGTAGTATAGTCTTTATAATCTACTGAATACAACTTTTGAAATCAGGACTGTTGATAATCACATAAATTAATCCGATTTTCGATAGTCCTGATACATAAGCAGTATATAATATATTTTCCGTATATACTAGGTGTGGCAAATAAATTTAAGTTACCAAACAAATAATGGATTGTTGGGATATTGCTGGGCCTTTTGCTGTTAGTAAATTAAGGGAAAGTGAATGCAACGATTAAAAGGTAAAAGCCTACTTTTGGTCTTTCGATAGTAGCCCAGTATTATGAAAGGTAAGTAACTGTTTTGGGTAAAAGCATGGAAACAGTCAATACGCTTTTAACTGCCGCAGACCAAACCCTAACAGTTCAGGATGGCTTCGTCCCGCGTTCATATATGGAGACACCGATGATGGCTTGCATCATACTTAATGAGTAGACATGTACTATATGCGACCAGTCTCGATTTGCTGATATTCACTATTCAATAGTCATTGAAGTTTCTTACTTTTAGACTATTATATGAATGTACTTTTAATACCTCTGGGTAAAGTTACATGTTGGTTTAAACTTGACAGAGATTAACAAACAATAGCCCTATAGTTTAATCAGCAAGTAGTTACTTTCAACTTTACTCAGAGGTGAAAATATATGTTTTATATTGGAATGCCTTCTGTTTTAGTATAGAGTTTATATTTCAAACGGTACTACTGGTCAAAGAAGCACTATCGAATCGCCTGTCTGGTGACGTGCCTGGCACATGACCTTTATTCAGCAGTCAGTATTAATATGGTAAAAGGCCTGCAATTTTCCTTTAACTTCCCAACAATATAGGCCATTAATGGCCAATATATTTATTTCTAGACATTATAAAGAAAATGGAGGCCTATTAATAGGATTTGATGGCCAAGTGACTTCGGCCTGACTGTCGGCCGTAGTGACCTATACCTGTCGGCTTTTTAATTATAAAAGTTAAATGGCAATCAATACAATTGGAGGGTAACCCTTATTGTGCCTTTTATTCCCCTACACTAAATGCTTGTTGGGTAACTTTGAAACCGGTTGAAATTTATAAAAAATATAGATATTTTGGTGATAAAAAGGAATTTTCTTTTTGTTTGGCCACCCTTATAAATATTTTATATTTTAAAATGTTTATTTTTAGAAAAAATAATGAGAGACAAAGCTTCGTGGATGGAAGCAGCAAAGTCAAATCCGGATTCTTTGACTTTGGATGAATTTTTGGCATTTACTCATCCGGAATCTAGTATTACTAACCAATTGGTACTAGTGGATGAACTTTTTGACAAATTCGATAGGGACGGCGATGAATTGTTGACAGAAAACGAGTTTGCCATCCTACAAACTGAAGGTACAAGTACCATAGCCTTAGTTTCTTAAAAATAACTAGTTTTCCTTTGTAATTTAAAAAATAAAGATTCTGGTTTCTCAACAGTCAGAAATATATTATAATGGCCCCGTTTTTCATTATTTTTAGAAAAATAAAATCAATATTCGATCCAAATTGTCCATCAAATTACTCTACATTTATTTAACAGTGTCTTGTTTCCATCTTAGATTAATAGTCTGATATTAACTTGACTCCAAGAATTCCCGTATCTTCATCTGAGACTACCTGAATTCTTTTTTACGTCCTAAAAGGTTGAGAAAACCACATTATTAAAACTGACGCCAAGATCTTAAGTTCAACCACACGATGCCGTTATTTGCGCTGTAGCACTTACTCATAATCTGTATTGATTTCCAGGCAACGGAGACGAAACTTTAATCGTCCGCCAAGACGAAAACGAACGCCGAGCGGAATTTAGGAAAACCATCGATCTAAACGGAGATGGCAAAGCGGATAGAAGGGAATTATTGCACTACGTAGCCCCGCAAAGCCCCAGACATAGCGAGCACGAAGCCGAAGCACTTCTATCTCTAGCCGATAACGACCACGACGGTATGCTATCGCTGGACGAAATACTAGCACATCCGGATTTGTTTTTGAAATCTAAAATGGTCGATACCGCCAGAAGTTTCCACGATGAATTTTGAACGATGGAATTGAGTTTTTCGTATTTTTATTTTTGTAAAATGTTCTATAAAATATAAAAGTTGTACTGTTCTTTTCTTTCTTTATTGTGACGCGGAGCCGTCTCTGTACTTTGTTTACTCCTATAGAGACCAACGCACCGCTTCGAGAAGCTGTCGGAGTGATCTCTTTGCGGCGTATGAGTCATAGAGAGGCAATTATCGATCGTTCTGGAAAGTCGAGTTTTCTGGTACACATATATTGCCAACGAAAATACTGAAAAGTTTAAATTTTACACTTTTCCTCAATTTTTTCCATTACGGTCCATTTTAGAGAAATCATGTATTAAATAAAAATTATAGAGAATGAAATCGCAAGCAACTTTTATTTAAACAATTTTTTTAAAAATTTGAATTTTGTACTTTTTGTCAAATTTCTCGAATTATGCAAAAATTATAGAGAATAACATCACAAGCAATTTTTATTTGAAAAATTTTCTACTCCACGCGTCAATAACAGATATAATCCATAAAGTAGAAAAACGACCCTCTATATAGTACCCCCAGATGATGTTCCGACTATGCCCAAAATGTAATCTGTTCACCACAGGATGGATTAAAGATTAAATTTAAAATTTGATGTTTTTGTCTATCCGTTTTTGCACTTTTTCTCAAATATCTCGAATTTAATCCATTTTATAAAAATTATATAAAGTTTTGGGATAGATTATTCCACAATTAAATAAAACTAAAAAGTAGTATTAAAATTAATTTATTAAAATCGAGGAAAACACCACTTTATACCACTTATATTAATAACAACAATAGTCAAATTTAATTAAAAAACAAAGTTAATAAAAATACAAAAAAGCCTTTTGAGATCAACTGATATAGTACTAAAATAAAAAGTACAAAAATAAAATATAAATTTAATTTTTAGACATAACTTTTTAAATCTATCAAATTTCATAATGGTTTGGAATGGCGATTAACTACGTACTTATCATTTCTTCTTTCTGTCCTGCGTACATTTGGGGCAGTACCATTTTCCCTTCGGCTTCGTTGTCAGGCCCACGCATGCGAAATGGAACCACTCAATAGGGCACTAAAACAAACATGTATCATTCAAGACTAATAAAACACAATCAGATTTGATATTTAAACACTTACATCTGGATTGTCACAACCAATCATCTCACCATACGACACTTGATGGCAAAGGCAGTAAGTGGGTTCGTTAGGATCGACAGGCATGTCTAAAACGTCACTTGGATGGGCTATTCCAGCTAGACCAGGAAGAACCGCAGCAACTGCTTCAGCGACTACAAGAAGAAAAGAATACAAAAGTTACACCAGTATTGACTAAGTTAGGTTGGTAAAGAAATTAACTATTTTAGAGCATGATCCCATCATTAAACTCATTCAACCAATGAACAACAAACGATTCACAGTTGACAGGTCTCACTCTCGATAGGAGAGGAGACAAATTATGAATCAGCACGATGTGGAGGCTATGAGTATGTAAAAATAATGTGCCAGATAATGACTGTAATACTTTCGTATGATAACGACGGTGATATTTTCAAGTTGAATAACAATGCTGATATGTTGGACAGTGATTATTTGATATGAGATTATAGGCGTTTTCGGAATTCAACTATAGATAACAAATCCAGATTACTGGGTTTACCTGATAGATCACATGGATCACTGAACTTAGTGCTAACAGTTTACGAAAGAGTTGGATTATTGTTCCTGTTTATTTACGTCTGTCAATCTTTGACTTTTCCCGCGTAACTATCAACATTATAAACTCTCATTTGTTAAAGAACTATTTTATTTAAACATATTTGTAGTCTGACTGATAAAGTCGCAATATGGGCATAAATATTACAAGTTATAACTAAATGAATGTAGAAAAACTTCAAAGCTACTACTGGCAGATACGAGACACCAAAAAATTGCGTTATTCCTTTATAAAATCCTGCGATGCGCATGCTGATCTATTACTAATCTAGTCACAGAGTGGATGACAAAATATTGATCTCCATCACAAAGCTGGATCAGTAATCTACTAGTTTCCGAACACGGATAGGGTTAGTAATCATAGGTAAATGAACAATAGGATCTATAATCTTTCTGATTCAAGTAAGTTTCCGAAAACGCCTATCGGCGGTATTCATTTTGAGTTTGATTGTGATGGTTGGTTGATTTGGTGAAGAAGTTGGCTTGGAAGCAAATCTATTAGCCACAGTCTTTTGAAGAGATATCTATTTTAAATTATAAATTATGTGTCCAATTGAATAAAAAACTACACAATATTTTATATATATAATTTTTATCGTTTAAGTGAACTTATTAACTTATGCTAACTTTCTGTTTGAAGCTTTGGAGAAGGGTCTACAGTTAGATTCTGTGTATGCAGACTTTTTCCAAGCATTTGACAAGATGAACCATGATCTTCTAGTTTATAAGCTCAGAATATATGGTAAAAGTAGGATGGTCTTACAGTGGCTAGGTAGTTATCTAACGAATAGGACTCAAAAGGTCCTGGTTAATAATTATTATTCCCAGTAACCTCGGGGGTCCTTCAGGGATCTCACTGTGTTATTTGCAGATGATTTGAAGTACTTCAAGCTCATTAATGATTATGAATACGACTTTTTGACAGTTCTGTTCAGAGAACCATTTACTCAACCTGAATATTTGAAAGTCATTTGTAATTTCATGATCTTGATTTGTATTTTTTTACATAAAACTGCAAGCTGATTTAGATCGTCTCAGAGACTGGAGTAAAATCAATGGAATGGGACTTAATGTTAAAAAGTGCCATCAAATGGTCTTCAGTCGTAACAGAAGTCCCACAGAACAAATAATCTACAATATTAATGGTTGCCCTTTGGAATCGGTATCTCAAGTTAAAGATTTGAGTGTAGTTCTCAATTCCAACTTATCTTACGTACTCCATATATCAATGGTAGCAGAGACAATCCAGCTAGACGTGTAACTCAATGTATTTTTTTTGTTCGGTAAAAGTTATTTGGGCGATTGTAACCACAACCAGTCTATGATGGCGCCACTAGTAAATAGCGGGAAAATTAAAAATGCTTTAGGGCGGGAAATTCAAACATGGATTCAGAAATAGTTTTTCTATACAAATTTACAGGAGAAACAAAAACTATTGTTTCACTGTATATTAAAAAAATATAAAAGCTTCCAATAACATCAAATTTTTTATCATATAAATAATCATTTTAATAAAGAAAGTTTTAATCAGTTTAATATAAGCAGTGAACATAGTTTTTATTACTCTTGTAAATTTCGCTAAAAGAAAACTTGAAAATTCTATTGATTATTAAATATTTAAACTTGGAAAAATAATACACCAAACTCTTTTTCTATAAATTATATTTTTGTAAGGTACAGAAAAACAAACTACAATTGCTTCGTTTAGAAAGTACCTCGTATTATTTTGTGAAAAATTACAAAGTAAGTAACAGTTGTTATATATTCATAATATATTTAAAAACTAATGTATCAAATATTTTATATAGTATAGAGTATATAGATACCTTTTTGCCAGACTATCATAAGTGCCATTTGAACAACTGTCGCTTACGTTAGTCTAGCAAAAAGGTATTGATATGTTATGACTATTTATTTTAATAGAAATCATGGAAACGAAATAAACACACACATACACTCAACACAAAAATTATCTATATGCTTTTTGTTAAACTGTTTTCTTTCAAATATACTCCTGTTCTGTAATTGGGTTTAACCTGTTGAACAATGTATAAATAAATAAATAAATAAAAAATAAACAAATGTATAAGGCCCAAGTCGAGTAAGTTCCCATCCTTTAAACTGGATCGAAACTTGCTAGACCCATTCCGTACACCCCCTGCTAACTCCTCTTAGGGTCATCAAGATCAATAGATTTATATGCCACGCCTTCTAAAAGGGAATGAAGGATGACATACTATCATCATTTAAACAGGACGTTGCTGAAGGCATACCCCTGTTAGTTCATTTGTTTGTGTATCTTGTGTGTGTGCATTCCTGTTGTGTGCCCAGTCATGTAAAAGTTTTCCTAGTCTCCTAATTTGGTTACTAGGTGGACCTTCTCCAACTAGTAGTCTAATCTATTCGATATGTTCTGCAGCAGGAGGTACTTTTCAAACATAGCAAATAATATTAATAATAAACACTATTTAAAGATGAATACATTTTTGTAATTTTTTTGTCATTGCCCCTTACCTGTCTCTTACACCACCAGGGTATACCTATTTTCCATATTCTCTTAATTATAGATTACCTTACAATGTTTGAATGAATATAACATTTTACCCATGAAAAATCTAATTTCGTATTTAACTCTTTTTCAATTTCATTTGAAACAATTGGTACCTAAATTAAAATTTATTATCAAGGAAATCTTCTAATAAAGTTATAGCAAATCCTACTTAAACTACTGGTTGTTCTGCAGGATAAATTAACTTTTCTTGAAATTGATCTCTCTCTAAAATCCAAAACAGGCTTGATGTCCCCAAATTTATTTTCCAATGCATCCTGATTTAAAATTCTGCCCTTTTGTGATTCAATTTTTTTTTCTTCCTTTAGAGTGGCTATTAGAGGTAGGTATATGTAAGAAATAGCCAATCTCTAATCATTTCAAAAGTCCTTTGCCAATACTACATGTGAAGATTTTTTACTCTGCATACATTTTACTTTTCTAGTAGGTAGGAACTTTGTGCTGCCATTAAAGCTATCCAGACATTCATCTACCTACTTAATGAACAAAAGTAGCTGTAACAATGGATCTATGTTCCAATTCACCTAAAATAATTATAGTCATTTTGTAATATATTATTAAACACACACATTATACTGTGGTTTTCTTAATAAATTGGAAATTACTTACCTCTAGAAAGAAATGTGTACAAAAACGCGAATTTGGTTCCAGAAATTGCTTCATGCAAAAAATAATATGCAAAAATAAACATTCCCCCCCCCCCCCCCCCAAAAGAAAATTAATTAAACAACAAAATCAGACTCAAAGAAATAAACGGTGCCCAAATTAAATTAATTTTAATAAAATGCACACGTTCATAACAACATTCATAACTGTCAGTTTTAATCGATACGTCGACGTCAAAAAACCAGCAACATCAGCGACCTCTTAGATTGGTGTTAGTTTTATTGGAGGGGGATAAATATACGTAAAGATCAACATAAAAGAGAAAGAAAGTCATATGTAATTTAAATGGGCCACCGAACAATTTTTCCTATTAAGTTACACGTCTCTGTTGTCTCTGATGGTAGTCTCAAATCACTTCAAATACTATGCTTTATTAAACGTTGCGCTAAGGATTTTTTAGAGTATCATCTATTAAAATATTGTTTTGTTTAGTTGTGAGGCCCCATTTAGATTACTGTTCATGTGTCTTGTAAAATTATGAACTAGGTGACATTGTCAGGCCCTTTATAATTTTTAAAATTCTTAAGACTAAACACATTTCTTGCACGCCAAATATTTTTTCTCTCCCATTTTGTGTTCGAAAGTATGTAAAAAATGTACATTGAAATCACGAAAGATGACTGTTCCTTTGATCTTTTTTTTTTCTCAACAAAATAAATGTATATAAGTTTAATTACTATGGTTTCAAAGTATTTTCAATAAATCTATAGAGAGATCCACAAAAAATGTTTCTAAAGTAGGTCATGGAAAAAATCACGTGTGTTGGAGTTTACAAATCATCTTCTTCTTTAAATGACAATTTGGATTTAATCCAGAGGTATTCATAGTTATCACGGATGTGACTCATATCTGTCTTGGTCAATCATGGCCTACTTTAGATATATTTTTTGTAGGTCAGTCATTATTAGTGTTGATTTGATGTAAAGCTGATTTATGAAAATGAATACATTTTAGTAAATGATCTAAAAATGCTTTGTTTTAATAAAAATAATAAGTGTTTGTTACAACGAATAACAACTAGTCTAATTTTGTTTACAAAAATTGAATTGCAAGCATTCATGGTTTTATCCACATAGTTGTCAAATTATTATGAAAGAGTATGGTAGTCTTTTTATAATTTGGAATTGACTTGACATAAGGCTTTAACATGCTCAAAATGCTTTTAAAATCACATTAAAAAAAATTGTTTATTGTCCAACAGGAAATAATCCAAATTACAGGACAAACTATACAATTTCTTAAAATTTGACTTAATATTAGCCTAACTTAACAGCACTTCTTTTTCGGCATTCTTGGCATAAAATTACTGTCTATTATTTTGGTATTCAACTATAGTCTAGTAGTTTTTCATCATTAGTTTTTTATAAGTAGAAATAAATTATTTTTTTTAGCAATATTTGTGTCATTTTTTTATATTGTACATACATATGTATGCTTATATTTTGTCAAACAAGGCATTTATTAACATGAGATGTAAGTGTTGAATATGAAAAAGCATGACATGATACGAACCCTCACCTGCCGCAGCCTTGGCTCCACTACCCACACTACCACCTGATGTATTTCCAGTCCCTGCACCCTTTTGTTTCTTCTTTTTACTGCCCTTAACTGTGCCAGTAGAATCTTCCTCACTAGAATTGCCAAGTCGTTTTTTCTTCTCAGTTTTTCCATCTTTAATTTTCTTCCTGCCCCCTGAAATTTTAACAATATATTTGATCCAATATAAAGTTTGTAATTATTTACTCACTTTTTCCTACTGCAGGTTCTTCTTGATTTCTAGAATTCAATGCTTTATCCTGAATTTCAGTTTCGAACCTATTTAAGTCATTGTCTAATCTACGTATATGTTTATCTACTAGTTCATAAGTTTGTATTGCTAACTGTACTTTATCATCACCATACTCCTAAAATATCGTAAACAATTAATAATATAAGCATTTACAATATGTTTTGCTTTATACCTTAGCTTTGTTGAATAGACTTTGAATTTTATCTAATTGTTCTTTCCTTAGATCTGAACCAAAACTTTTTTGGTTTCTTAGATATTCGTCTGCTAAAGTATCAATATTTTTCATTATCCCTTGGGCCCTAGTATCCAGATCCCTCATTAATGTAAAATTACGTTGTAACTCTACAGGTAAATGTTCTAGACCTAAAACAAATAGCTGAACCTGATGTTGCAGATTAAAAATAAGTACTTACTGTCTAAATAATGTTCTAAATAAAGAGCAGAGGTCATTTTTTAATTGTGAAATAAAACTATATTTTTAAAATAAAAGTTACAAAGAGAAATTTATATTTTTGTTTTTGTGTTTATTAAACTTCAGCCTTCAGCTGCTCATGTCAATGTCACCCGTCAGTCGTCACGGCCGTCACCTATTATTTAGAGATGGGTTGCTGTTTCGCATTTGCGATTTTGGCACTGCGACGTTCTTATCACTGGATCGGTCTCCGGTCCGGTTCTCAAAAAATCGCAGTGATTTTTCAGAGCGATATTTTGCTTTTTTTGAAGATCCCGAAATACATTTGGACTTTGGTCTTCAAACTACGAGAAATTTACGAAATATAAAAATTAATAGTTTACTTCATTTATCTTATCTTAACGAGAGAGTATTGTAATAAATGAGTGGTAATTCTGTAACTGTAATTCAATACGTTAATTTTTAACGGGTGTTAAATTTTACGATTTTAACATAAATTGTAATTCTGTAAAAATAAAATTAACGCATACGTTAAATTTTTAAATAAGTTAACATACGTTAAAAGTAGTTCAAATTTGCAATAAAAGTATGGTTATGTTTTAAGATCTGTCATATAAATGTCCTTTTGTCATATTTATTGTATCTTTCTGTTTTTGCACAAGAATATTAAAAAAAACTAGCGGCCGAATTTACTTCATAAACTATTTAATAGGCCATCAATTTTCAATAAAAACAAAACTAACCCTAGTAATCTTATAATAGTGCCCTTTTATGGCAAATCAATTACTAACTACAAAAAGTTTATATACACACACTATAAAAAACATAATTTCTAAATAGAATTTGTGTAATTTCAACTGTTAAAATTACTTGAGTACTTTCAAAATGGTTAATTTTCATGATTTTCTTGCATTAGTGGTAATTCTGTAACGAATATGTTAAAATTTAACGGACGTTAAAAATATAACGTATGTTAAACATGAAAAGCAATTCTGTAAATTCATTAAAAATTTTAACTTGTCATAATTAACATAATAGTTCATTTGTGCAGCAAAAATCTATTCTATAAGCAGAAATATGTTAAAAATTTAACATAAATGTGTTAATTTTATGCGTTAAACCGAAGATATTAACAGGTACTAATTAGTAGGCTTTAAAACATATAAGAAATGCCTTTACAACTTCTACTTGCGCAGTAAATCCTTATAAAATTGAAGAGGTGGCGCTCGAAGCATCGAAAATGGTTTGTTTTCATTAGGTGTCATTACCACTGAACTGTATATTAAACTGGAAGAACAAATAAGCCAATCAACAAAATCAAGCCGCATAGCGAGGTGATATTTGACACTGTGGCGCCCACACGTGCGTATCGAAATGTACTAAAAAGGAACATCAAAATTAAATTTAACACTTAATACATTCAACTACGAAACCTTTTAATTTATGAAAATCACTTAAAAATGATTTTTTCTTAATACGCAGCTGAAACAAATGTTCCAATAATAATAATTATTAAAATAGCGCGTTATTAATAAAAAATAATATAACTTATTGTAGTACGCCCGTGGGAAACGTGATGCAGAATGCTCGAAATTGACAGTCTGGCTTCCAAATTGTCATGCGCACCGACCATTTTTTCATCCATGTCGGCTTATAAATTAGGAATAGGGTTTATGTCATATAGCCATCCAGTGTCGGTGATCATTACTTACTAAAGATCACATAGCACATGGACATAGAGGACGTCCGAGGGACGTCCTTTTTTGGTACCGGGACGTAAATCGGACGTCCAATGGACGTCCTAATGTCCCGTTTCTGTTCATCTTTGGGACGTCTCATTATTGTCCTGGGCTCGGACCGAAAACTAAACGTTTTGTCGAAACGGGACCAAAATAGGACGTCCTAGCATTCACGGTAATCGGAAGTCCAGTGGATGTCCAATTTAGTTCCCGGACCAACAAGGGACCAAATCAAGACGTCCATAGGACGTCCTGTGCTATCTGGGTCGAGGCACAGAAGAAAGTATCGTTCTTTATCCTGTGGTTGAGGTGACAACGTCTCATAGTTATTTCTATCACACGGAATTGTATTGTTGATTGAAGCAAGACACTTTTGTTTATTTAGAAAATTGCACGTGTAGTTTGTTGCTTCGATCACCAAAATCATGGAAACATTACAACACCTTATTCACCGAATTTGACCCCAGTAATTTTTTTATTTTCATTAATAAAAAATGGCTCGACGAACAACGGTTCTCTCTTTTCCTTTGCATCGACAGTGTAGCACTGAGCTACGTTACTTCTGAAAATGTCGTTCCATCCATACAATTTGTATAAATGGAACGATATTTTCAGAAGTGGTGTAGCTCAGTGCTACACTTTCGATGCAAAGGAAAAGACCTAATAGAGAGTTTTAGCAAATGTACGTAAGATTTCCGCTAACGTTACGTTAAACTTAGATTGTGACCTTTTTCATAAACATTGAACGGAGTAGATTACAGTCTATCCCTAAGGTAACGTTAGCGGATGGTTAGCGGCTGTTTGCTAAAACTCCCTAATATCTCAACGATTTTGACGAAATAGTCGCAGTTTAGCACTGCGAAAATAGTCGTCGCTTCGCAACCCATCTCTAAACCCATTACTTTTACTTTTTTCTTTGAATTTCTAGGTCTAGACCAGGGGTGGGAAACTGGTATGCGCAGGTCAAGGATCAATCAACCACGTCCGCGTGGCGCTGCAGTCGGGTGGTGGGGTAGGTGGTGGGAGTGTAAATGACAGGTGAATATTGATTTTGGGGGGGTGTCATGGCGTCTTGGCTTAAACCAAACGTGTTTATTTATATTGGTGACTTGGTTGTGTTCAGTTGTGTTTTCATTTCCAATTTGCTTAATTGATTTAGTTGACCACTGTTAGTGAGCTTGTTTTTCCATTATAAATTTGTGCGTTTTGAACTGTTATCTTGTGCTTTTTCCGCTGTTATTTCGTGCTTTTCCATAAAGATGCGTAATTATAGAAAATGTTGTGTACCGAATTGCCTTGATGTGAACAACAAGATGCATCGCCTGCCCCACCCTAGGAATGAACCCGATTTATTTGAAATTTGGGCACTTGCTGTTCGTTGTCCAAGATTTAATAATAAAACAAAACTACAAATTTATTCCACCTTTGTAGTATGTCATAAACATTTTGAAGAGAAGTATAAAGTAGTTGGCTCTCGTCAAGGTCTAACACCTGAAGCATTTCCAACGCTATTCCTACCAGCAGTTCCTGGAAGAGTAGCGGATGGACTTTCCTCAAATAACGTAGAAATTGAATATGTTGATCAAACACCTTCTACTTCAAGTAAAGGTTCGAAGAAGAAGCAGACTAATAATATATGTTGGACTTCTTTTCGAGAAGGAAAGTTAGTAATCTACTCATTTATTTTATACTTATACTGTGTATTTTCTGTTTCATGACATTTGGGGTTGCAAAGCTGTATCGTAGAAGAAGAAGCAGACTAATAATATATGTTGGACTTCTTTTCGAGAAGGAAAGTTAGTACTTATTTATTTTATACTTATTGCTGTGTTTGAGAATCCACATCAGATGCATTTTTTACATCTCGAGCGTTTTTTTATCCACATACCTATATATAAAACGTTTATTTAGTCAAAAAAACTATTTTTTACATGTCAATACATCTTCACGTTTAAAATATAAAAAATACCTAAATATAGAATCAACATACATTTAAAATGCAATAAAAAATACATAAGATACAGTACACTTACATGTCAACTATACAAAACAATAAAAGAACAAGAAAGAGAAAAAAAAACGTCAATAGGTGAACAGGTATTCATGCAGTTTTATTTTAAATATTGCCACATTTGAAGAACATTTAATATCCTCAGGCAAATTATTAAAAGCCTGTACACCTTTAAAAAACACTGAATTTTGTGTACATTTTTCTTGTTACCTGTTTAGGTTCATGAACATCCTGATTATAACTTAAAATATTTTGTAAATATACTCTGGAGATTCCTGATTTAATTTTAAATATAAAAAGCAGGGAATAGAATAGCAAATATTTTTTAACAGTCAACCACTGAAGCACATTCAACATGGAATTGATTGGTTCCAATCTCGAACAGCTCAGTATTATCCTCAGACCTCTATTCTGCAACTTTTGCAATCATTGCAACTCATTCTGGTTGAGCAAATACAGTATAGTGGCACAATAATTAAAATAAGGTAATATTAAGAGTATTATAAATTATTATTTTAGTCCATTTGCCGAGATGTGGAGAACAGCGCCTCAAATAGTTTATTTTAAATCGGACACATCTGTCCCATTACATTTACGTAAATTGAATCACGTGATCAAAGATTTACTACATCTCAGTTGCATCCGATGTGGATTCTTAAACGCTGCATATACTGTGAAATTTGTGTTTCATGACGTTTGGGGTTGCAAAGCTGTATCGTAGATGTTGGACTTATTACAAAATAAAGTATTCCTCGGACTTATAATTTTTTATTAATACATTTATTTTAATGAGATTGTACTTATACTGTCTTTCTTTTTTCACAGCTAAAGTTCTTCACAAAATGATGGACAGTGTTGTATCCTGGAATATGTAGCAGCCATCCAGCTACTTCATACATAATACAATTTTCATATACATTACATTTTTTAAATATTGGATTTGTATTATATTTATTCTTTAATAAATTTATTTTTTGAATATTCTTGTTTTTTTTATCTAAAAACTGTTAGCCAAATTAAGATTTGTTCACACAAACTGCATTTTTGCTTTATTATAGCGATATTCGCTATAATAAAGCAAAAATGCAATTTGTGTGAACAAATCTTAATTTGGCTAACAGTTTTTAATGCGGATAATTTTTACTGTCAAATTTGAATAGCCCCGCGCTTTTCTTCTCTTCTTCTTTTTATTATTTTCTCTTCTTTCATATGGCCTCTTACCAGACAAGGACTTAATTGAAAAAAAATCAACCACGTCCACCAGGTGCCGCTAAAAACTCTATCATCCTTTTTTAACATGGGAGTTACCGTTCTAAGAGTAAGTGTTCTGTGGTCTAGACATTTTCTCGCGATTATCGATTATAACGTCATTGCTCAAATCCACGTGGCTAGGAAAAAAAAGATTTTTCTCCAATAAATATTTAATTTTTTGATTCCTCTTTCAAATTAAAAGTTGAACATATGAAAATATCCTCGGTTAAAATTGAAGAACTTGTAAAATAATGGTATATAATAACTTGTCGCCTGAAAGGTATACAATCAACAATACATTTTTTTAGTGTGCGGAGTTGTGTGAGGTTAACAACCTTCCAATTTTGGATTTTGGCGAGTTTCATTTAATTTGAGGCACACTTTCTCATAAACATTTCAAAGAAAAAGAATTTTTGCAAATAGTCTATTTATAAAGATATATAAACGAACTGCAAGTCACTATAAAGCTAAACAGTGATATGAACAAAGCATTATTTTAATTATCTGTCATTATTTTCGACTGAACCTGAACTGTGTACAATACAGTATACAAAAACTCTCAGAGAGTATGGAAACATAAGAATACAAATTATTCACAAAAATTTAAGTGCTTAATTAATTCAAGATATCAATTTAGTTCGTAGTTGAAAAAAAAGGATAAAAAGAAATGAAGGTAACAGTAACAACTTTGACGGATTTCATATTCGTATTGGATGTATCAGAAGATTTGGAGTTAGAAAATTTTAAGGCATTTTGTGAAATCGAATCTGGATTTAAAGCAAACGAAATTGTGATCGCTTTTAATGGAAGGCCATTGATGGAAAACAAGAAATCGCTCAAAGAACACGGGATTTCAGATGGTGATGCTGTTATTCTTCAGCATATGCAGAGTACCTCCGAAAGTAGTCTGGATACTCAAGGTAAACGTTTAGTTTTATATTTAAAATAATGTTTATTTTAGTAATAAGTAATTTAAATGTTTTTACATTAACTATGCTTAAATTTTACCAATTTTTTTGTAATATATTGATGCAAATTATTGGTACAGAAATGTATACATTTTTGAGTTATTCTAAGTTGATATGTTTACAAGAAATATTTATTAAACAAAGATATATTCTATTTTTACCCCTACATGTCTTTGTTTTTGATTTAAAGTTATTGTCATGCAAAAAAATAATATAAAAATAGATTTGTTTTTATTCAAATTTGAGCTATTTAGAAATATGACAAATGGTCAAAATTTTCTTTATCAATTACTCTGTAGTTGCAAATCAATCAAAATAGCTTTATTGTATGAGGATTTAGTTACATCTCATTGACAACACAATAAACATTATCAAAAGAAGGAAAATAAAGTATGCAATTTAAAAGATACAAGAAATATATATAGATAAAAACTTAGGAGATAAAATTAAACAACAATGATTAATAATAATTTAGTGTTATTAGATTCTGTATGTTTTGTTGAACAGAAGCTTAAAAGGTTAGAGTAACACCAGTTTTATTAAAACTCGTATTAAAATAATAGTACTAATATTGTTAGCTAAAATATCTTAATTTTTGTCATGCCACGTTATGGTTGTATCGTTAGCAGTAAATAACCGATTAATATTAATACAGGGCAAGTCATTAATGTACAATAAAAAAAGTAGCCACCTCAAAACAGAGACTTAAGGTGTGCACCCTGTCAACCAGATGACATTCTGAGATATCATTCTTAACTACTACACTCTGACATGTTTAACAAATAAGATTTTAACCATTCCAAAGCCATGCCCCTGAGGCCATATTTTTCCAATTTACTTAATAATATTCTGTGATTTACACACTCAGATAAATCGCAGAATACCATTGCAGCAACTGACTTTTAATTTAGGTTTCAATATAGTTTCTCTAGTTCAGAAAAGATGGCATATTTTTATTGAACTGGAAACCAAATTGTCTAAATGAAAGCAGGGAATATTTATTTAAGAAATTAATCATTTGACTTTTCACCAGTTTTTCAATAATTTTAGCTAATATATGCAGCAGAGATATAAACCTATAGTTACCAGGAAATGTTTTATCACATCTTTAAATATAGGTCTTAGCATATTTTAGGACTAAATTGCCCTGATAATAATGACATATTTATAGCATCTGTTCTGTATCTGTAATGTGCGGAGGGTGGGTTACCCCCATGGTACTTAGGCCTCACTAGGCCCATTGTGCATCCTCCTAAGATGATTGGCACCTCCTAGCTGGTGAGCCAGCCTACAGATTTAATGTAGTTGACAACGTCGCCAAGAGGTGCTGTCAGCACTGTTAAAACATTATCTGGATGAAGCAAAAATATTTTAGCTGAGATATCCCAACCTGCAGCTTTATCTACTTTTGATATTCATTACCAAGTCTTTAATTTCATAGAATGATTGATCTATTTTAAGAACATTGTTATAAACAACCGATTTACATTAATTGGTATCAAGTAAATTGAGGTTTGATCTGGCTAGCCAGATTTTACAATTCCTTGTGAATAATTTGTATTCTGTCTAGAAGATTTTTTGTTTAAGCCAGAGCTAATGTCAGAATCTGAAAGTATATGTACCTATTGAAAGATTGACTTAAATGCATTAGAAAAATCAGTTAAAAAAATATCAAGCTGTTTACCTACTTTTAAGATACATGATATAAAACTGGTGTATTTGAGTAAATATAATTTAGCTGGTTAAATAAATATATAGTTAAATTTTAGTGTCCAAACTACAAACTTACATTTGTTTAAAGTTATCATTATACTAATTTAACACAAAAGAATTAAAACAGTATATGGGTGATTCTCGCCTAACTGTGATTTTTACAACTTACATTTTTCTAAAATTAAAAATGTTTAAAAGCATATGTTTTACGCGTTTTTGTTTCCTATTTATGCATAGAAATAAGCCTGTAAAGTGGTTCTACTACAGCTACGACACAACGAAAACTGTGACAAAATTTAAAAATTTTAATGCCAGGGTAGGTACTGACATTATTTCCACGGTACTGACATATAAATGATTATTTTTTTTTTTACCAATCCAAAGATTGGTATAAAATTGCAATAAAATTCAATGCAGTATGCATTAGATTGTAGTTATAAGAGGTAAATTTTATATTAAAAAATGAATTTTGATAGAAATTTATATATTTAATTTTAAAAATGAGAATCGGACATGCCACGGTACTGACATTTCCAGTATATTTATATGCAGCTTAAAAAAAATTACGAAGGTTTATGATCTAATTCATAATGTCGGTTGTAAAATACCTCTAAATTTATAATATTATTAACTTTTTGATGAGGAAAACTTATGCTAAACGATAAATAAAACACTGGACATAAAAAATCACAGTTAGGCGAGAATCACCCATATGTATATGTCCAAAAAAATTATTAAAATAATTAAAAAATAGATCTAACTGCAAATCTAAAAACAAATATTTTTTTAAATATTTAACAGTATTATGACAATATTCAATACAATTTTTGGGGTTAAAAATCGAATATTGAAATCAATTTAATTTCAAAATCAAGAAATTTATTTACACGTTAAGGTAGTTCACTCGCGACAGTCGTACACAAAAATATCGCCTTATAGTGAATACCAACCGTTTGAGATTCTTAAATCTAAAGAAAGGTTATTTTTGTAACAGACTGTACATACAATACATGTGATCCTATATACAAATATGGTATTATATCGCGTAAAATCCATCCGGCAACGTCGAAAATATATTGTGAAACGTCAACTGTATTCCTAAAGTAAAATAAATGTAAATATCAAAATGTTTCATTGTCAGAATCAATTAATTGCAAGATAAAGAAAAATTTGTTAAGCAGAACGTCCTCAACAAACGCAAAAAATCAATTTTGGCTATGAATAATGCAAAAAAATTGAGAAAGGAAACCCCAAGCTTGAAAAATAACCTGTGCAGTGGTCGCATCGTGAAATTACTAGAGTTGGGAAAACTTTTAAAATGTTGCTGGTGTGAAAGAGTTCTTTCTCTTGAAAATATGACAAATGAAACACGAAAGGCCCTTTATTCAATTTTAAATGTTAAATGTAATGAATGTAATATTGAAACTATAGTACCTACGGACAAAGTTCATGCAACAAAAAGTGAAGTTAAGCATTCAGATGTCAACACTAAAGCAGTTCTAGGTAAATTTAAAAAAAAATACATAAGCATATTTGTTATGTTTATAATTTTTTTATTATAATTAATATAATTTTATTTATTTAAAGGTGCTGTCCATTCAGGGTTTGGTCAAACTGCTTGAAATAAATTTCTTGCTGTCATGAACGTTCCTACGATATCATCAATACTACAGAAAATCATTACTTTTATTTGTATTTTTTTATGACTTCCTCATACTGGATATTCCATTAACAATTTTCTTAAATATTTAATATCCATTTTAAAAAGATCATAGTTATTCTCAAAAAGTCGATTTCAAAAGCAAGAAAAAAGTATTTCTGACATCAATCAACAACCATATTGACTTTAATTTGACAGTGACATTTCGTTTTAGACACACATTTCAGATCACAATAATGTGAAATTTGCGACCGTTGTCTGGGACCAATTAAAAAATTACTTCTATGACATTTATTCGTTTCTTAACCGCTCATTGGCCGTTCACCGACTAAGGCCGATAAAGATAATTATTTCATACATTTTGAACACGACTATATTTCGAAACTCGCTCTTAGTAACAAATCTAGTTACTTTTCCCTGTGTAAATGCTTCTTTTCAATTCGCTCCTCCTAGTTTAAAAACAGAGATAGTAAGTTAAAATTTTAAATTACTTTATATTCATTTTTTTTTGGTTAACTATTTTATTTTGAAGGCATGTTTAAATAAAATTATATTCATCTTTTGCATATTTATTTAATTTTGAAGACATTTAAATACAATTAAATTTAAATTGTTAAATCATATCAACCTAAAGTATAAACAACGTCCCTTCCCAGAAGGCCTCGATAAAGCGACAAACTTGACCTGTCCACGGCAATAAAAAGGTTGGGAAGCACTGATCTATCTAACAGACATTTGATTAGCGGGCGTTGAGTGTATCGATTACAACGTTGCCAAGTTGTAATCACAATACGCCACTATGCGTCGACTCCTTTAAGAACATTTTTATTTTAAAAATCTATATTTCTTTATCAAAACGGTAAAAAATTGAGCGTTTTTTAGAAAATTTTATAACTTCTTGATTTACATTACATTAGTTTTTAAAAATATGGTAAGAACCGTTTTCGAGATATCTTGAAATAAATGCAATGATTGTGTACATGACAGGGCTTCAAGAGTGTTAATTATGCACATTTTGATTGTTAATACTTCGTTTTACAGACGGTCAAATTTTTTTATTTTTTTTAGGTACATAAAAGACACTTTCATTAACCTCATATTTCAATTTTATTGAATTCTTAAGAAAGGCCGTTTTACGAGTGAACTACCTTAAGGGCGGCGTCTGGCCATATCTCCAAAACTGTTTATCTGGTCAATTTCGCAATTTTTTAAAGAAAATACTCAAAAATGATTTTACCTTTGTAACTTTTCGCTTTGTCATAATTGTGTTTTCATAAAAAAAAAAAATCTATGTAATTTTAAACCAAGCTTTCAAAAAAACTAAACAATATTATGAAGTGTGATGTATTTCATTTTCTGTGTTGGTTGTAGGGGTTGTAACGGAAAGACAATATGTAAATATATTTAGTTTTAAAGAAAATTACTAAGTAAGTCAACGCGATTATATGTGGTTTAGATACCAAAAGTCAAAGTCATTTTTCGAGTATTTTAGAATAACCCGTTTCTTAAGAAGTCTTTACAACCCCTAGGCACACTTCATGAACGGTTTTCAATATTAAAATTAATGCCAGGAAGTATATTTTTCTTGAAATCTTGGTTTAAAGTCAACCCCGCATATACGGCAGATTTGTATGGGTGAACGCCAACCTTAAATGCATTTTTTGTTAAAACTTTTTTCATATATTTTAGTTGTCTTGGTTGCAAATCTCTAAAGTTACTCAGTAGCTTATTGAACTGTTCTATTGGCAAATGATTTAGTGGCTGTTGAGTTTGTGGTAGATGTATTTTCCTTAATACATATAAATACCGTTTAAGATAAATATAGATGCCAAAGCAAGAATAGTTAGTCTTAGTTAACCATAATTTATAAAATATGGTAATTATAGCTTGTATAATACTGTCAGAGGTCATTTCTGTTTCACTCAAAGTACCTTTAGGTTGGAAACTTCTGACTTGAGGCTTCAAATCACTAGCCTTGTCCAATAGTCCAACATTTTTATCACTCCTAACAGGTCCAAAAGTTTGACCCATATGGAAAATTTGTTTCGTGTTAGTTTCTCAGAAAATTTTATACTTGATAAAGTTTGTGCTTGACCCAAAACATAATAGTAACTTAATACACTTTAAAAACAGCCAATATATAAAGTTTGGCGATGAATTTGAAGGGTTATTTTAATTTTAGGTAGTTTAGATTTCAGTAACATCCAAATTCCGAATAACAATGCTACAAGAAATCGAGCAGAAGATGATCCTGTTCTTATAAGGGAAATGTTTCTAGCTAATCCAGATCAGCTTGCACTTTTGAAACAGAATAATCCCAGGTTAGCTGACGCTCTGCTTAGTGGAAATATAAGTAAGTACTTAAGATATATATCTTCAACTGTAAAAAACATTGCTAAATTAAAAAAATATAATAATAAAAAATTAGATTAGAGCAATGTTGTTCAACTTAGGGTTCTTAAGGGGTTCCATATTCCTACTGTGCACACCTGAGGTTTTTCCACAGTAAAGAGTTTTTCCCACAATGAGCTATAGTAGTCATTTTTTAAATACTTTACCATTAGTATTTTAACAAAATTTTGCTGTTCAGATCTCACAGGAGGCCAAAGAAATTATCATCTCTTGACGTATGCCAATAAATCCAGAGAATTTAAATGTTGTTGCCAAATGTATACTTTTATTTTCCCTTTAAACCCATCTTTATATGTATTGTAGGAAGAGTGAAATAAAAAAATAATTAGGTATCTATTTTATATTTTAACAATTCTGAACAATATAAGTGGTGTAGCAGCATTAGCAACTAAAAAAAGGGATAGTGTCCAATAACTACTAACAGGATTAAAAATTACAATCCGTTTCATTTCCATCCAGTTCATTTTACTGTGTTTAGAGTTTGATAAATAATTAATATAAAATCTTCATATATCTTAAAAACTAGTGTTTATTGAACAAACCAGGGGGGTTTTTCAATAATCGATCAGCCTTAGTTAGCTATATTGCCTTGAATTTTTGATACACCTTGTATATGGAAATACGAATCTATGTCCTTTTTTTTATGAACAATGCCGTTCGTCATTTTTTTTATGATATTATGTATTGAGGTTAAATTCAAAATAGCTTTTCTTTTCAAATTATTTCATTAACAGTAAATACTACTTAAAAATATTATTTTCTACAATTTTCGTTGCTATAATTTTTTAATCCAAAATGCTTGATAACAAAAACGTATTATCAGACCAGTTAAGGCACTGAACGTTAACAGACGAGTTCGATTCCCGTTTTTTTTTTGTGTCATCGGCATCAGCCTCGTGTTCTGTGTAGGTTTTGTTACTGTTTCCCAGCGCTACTTTAGGAACAGCATTGTTAATTAGACTCCAAGGGTAAATGGTCGAGTGGGGAATCCTACCTATGCATTAGAACTAATATTTAATACAATAAATTAAATAAAAATAAGACTGTCACTGGCGGGGTTCGAACCTGAGACCCTTCCATCTCAAACTCATGACTCTAACCACTGAGCTAACCTATCCCCCTAATTCCAGTCTTATTTTTTTTAATTTAGTAAATAATAAATGAATTTCAGGATCGAATCCCACCGTTGGCCAGGATTTTTTCATTTAATTTAATTATTTAAAATTAATTCTGATGCCTTGGTAGGATTCCCCACTCGACCATTCACTGTTGAGTTCTAATTAACAGTGCTGTTCCTAAAGTGGCGCTGGGAAACAGTAACAAAGCCTACACAGAACACGAGGCTAATGGCCGTAGTAGTCGACGCCGATGACACCAAATAAAAAAAAATGAATTTACTAAAATGTGTATGGTAAGTTGTGGAATGACAGCTGTGTATTGAGTCGAATGACATGACAACATCCATCAATTGGTTCTTCTTCTTCTTTTCTTTTTTTGGGCTATCCAATTAGCGGTTAGATGAAGTGACAGATTTTGCCATCTAATGGTGGCCTGAGACACAATATGTGACGTCTTCTACCAACGGTCCACATAAAGTATAATGATAGATGAAATGACATATGACAGATTGGTGACGTCATGCCCTTATATGAGGATAATATAGGAGCGGCTAAATCCTGACCGGCGTGCACATATTGTTTCTTATGTTTTCCGCTAGAGAGCGTGTATTTGAGCGCGGTTTTTTAAATTAATTTTGACATACAGTGCGTGAAAAATTGTATTTTAAATTATTATATTTCATTGTTGTTAATTCTGAGTTAGATATAAGTTAATTAATAATCCGAGAATTATGCATTTTATTGGGGGGAATAAATAAAATAACCAATAATAAGTATCAGTATTTTACTAATTTAGGAATTTTGACAAATAAAATCACTACAAATTTATTAGTATAATTTAAATAATAATATTGGGAATTGATAGTATAATATAAAAACACTTAAAATCATTATAGTCGATATATTAAAATATATAAGTAAAAATAATTATGATCATTGCCACTACTCTTACTAATAAAGAAACTTCTAAGAGTACTTCTAATAATTTTATTTTCATTTGTTTGATTTTTTGTAAATATTGCCCTTTTTGTTGAGGTGATCCACTTGTTTTTTATTACACTCTTCAAATATTTAAAAATTTACCCGAGAACATTTTCGTCAGAGGAATTTTCTAATTTGCCCTGTATATATTATTAAATTTAATTTTTTATTTAATTTTTTTAATGTGCCTTAACTTGTTGCATCTGCTGAAATATTTTGTCCAAAATATTCTAAATGAATATTTACCTCAGACTTTATCTCCATTACATTTATTTGGTTCATAGTTACGGTCAGTTTCTTCAGAATTGTTATCTCTGGCATAATGTAGCAATACTAAATGAATATGTTTGCATATTTTATTTTGTCTTCTGACAAAAAATACAAGTCAACTTACATATCTCATTTGATAATTTTGAGACATATTGTTTCATTTTATTTTTTTAATCTGCTACAATATATGTCGAGGTTGAGGTTGTCTTTTTACTTAACTTAGAGAGAAAAGCGAGTCTATGGCGATTTATTATATTAGTTTTTTTTTGTGGTTTTACCTTTTTTATTTTTTTTTGAATCAACAACTTTTCTTTTAAATTTCTAAACAGTATTCAATCTTTTATCCAATCTACTAACTCCTACCCCCTAAATGACTACTTTATTACTTTAGTCACAGCCTCTATATACATATATTATATATTTGTGTTATAATTCCAAAATCTTTATGGAAACATAAATCCCAATATTTATAATTATTTTCATAATATTGTTTAAAGTATTGTCCAAATTCTAATATGTTATTATCAGCACAAAACTCAATGGAAATCAAATGTAAATCAAATTCCCTTTGACTTTGTTCCTATTAATGTCTTATATATGCCCAAACTCCTCTCAGAATATTTAATTTTGCAGAGATTATTTTGCCATGCCCGATGACCATTACCATATAAATAATGTTTTGGTGATCCCATACCATTCAACCAGGCATTTATAAAAATGTTTATTGCACGTGTTGATAATACACGTCAACATTCAAGAACATTGAGGAAGGCTTATTCAACAATAAATTAATTTTTTTTTTTTTATTTATTCTACAATTATTGACACTATTAAGCAGTAGCTGCGCCCTCTCACGAAAAATAAAGTAAATAAACTGTGCACGTCGGTCAGCATTTAGCCGCTCCTCTTATATGTAGATGGCTCGGAGACGAAAAAAGTGGAGGGGATGGTCTCAAGCCAGTTAACATTTTTTACATCTCGATTTGAAATGAGATGTTCATTCCATGCCAGAAAGTAGGTGTTTTGTGAAGACAGATGCCGATTCTGTTCAGTTGGTTCAGTTACAAGTTTATAGATTTTATCCTTTGTTTATGCTAGCGTAAATATAAAAGTGATTAGTTTGTTTATTTTTTGTTTAGATTTAAAATTTTGGTTGATTTCTGGACTCAAAAGAAAAACCCAAAAAGTATAAACTTCCAACTTGTTATTGTCATTTTTATTAAGTCTAGAGTGTTTATTACATCTACTTTTAACTCTAAACACAGAGTTTCCATGAATTATTACAAATTTTTACAAAAATGAAAACAAAAACCACATAACAAATTATAGACACATTATTCTCATAAATACCACAGCAAAAATTTTAGAAAAATGTTTAAAAATGAAGTTACGAAGTTTTAAATAAGTAGGGGTAAACATACTGTGGACTAATAAAAATATCATTTTTCGTGGACAATCAAATTTTCTGTCAGTTTTCATTGACTCACACACTTCTTTTAGATACGTTCGCTAAGGTTCTTCAGGAACAAGTAAGGGCCAGGCAAGAACGCGAAGAACAAAGACTGAGGATGGTGAACGCGGATCCGTTTGATACAGAAGCACAACGTCTTATTGCTGAAGAAATTAGACAGAAAAATATCGAGGCAAACATGGAGGCAGCTATGGAGTACAACCCTGAATCGTTTGGTACCGTCGTCATGCTTTATATTAATTGTAAGGTCAACGGGTATCCCGTGAAGGCGTTTATAGATTCGGGTAAGTTCATATATCGTTTTTAAACTAAATATTTAATAATAAGTGATCTATATTGGGTCCTACACTGTATGTTCAATTTTTGCAATTTTTTCCTTGTGGTTTCTTTTCATCACTTCATCCTTTAGTAAAAACGGTACTTGCACTGAGATTTATTAACTGGCGGCGTCGTTGGTTAATTCAAATTACTGGATTCGTCAAAGTTCGACAACAGAAGAAAGCCCTTTGTTGTTTCGTGGGATCAGAGGGGTGCATGAAATGGTAAAAAAAAAAATGTAATACACTAAATAAAAAAAAAATAAAAATATTAGCGGAACAATACTACTACATTTCTAAATCTTTGAACATAAAAAGCAAGCAATTATGCCGTCTTTTCACGGTAAAAAGGTTGGTAAAATAATGTTGAAGAATATCTTTGTGGAAAAGAAAGTAAACAATGTTTTAAGCTCTTTATATGAAAGTAGAACTATGGTAGTACTGTTAAATTTATTCATCGTGAGTTATGTGCGCACACCCTTGCATGAATGTCATACACTTCATGTCGATTTAAAAAGAATAATTAATTTTTCAGGTGCCCAAACCACCATTATGTCGAGCCGTTGCGCAGAAAGATGCAACCTGATGCGCCTGGTCGACAGCCGATGGGCCGGCATAGCCAAAGGCGTCGGCATCCAAAAAATCATCGGCCGAATTCACATGGTACAAATCCAAATAGAAAACGTCTTTCTGACGACCAGTTTCTCCGTGCTGGAGGAGCAACCGATGGACATGCTGCTCGGATTGGACATGCTTAAAAGGCATCAGTGCTGCATAGATCTCAAAAATAATATTTTAAGAATCGGTACGACCGGTACCGAGACGCAGTTCCTACCCGAAGGCGAATTGCCGGATTGCGCGCGATTGAGTGGGTCAGATGATGATGTTACGTCGAAATCCAGAAAAGAACAAGAGGACAAAGACTTACAGACTGCTATTAAGAACAGTCAAGGTGAGAGTTTATTTTTTTTTAAACAATGTATTTGAATATTTCAACGAGCGGATGCATTTTGATTTAGGTAAAACCTGTTTTTATAGTTAATCATTTTGCTCTGACTAACGAAAACTAGGACAGTAAGCATTGAGTAATTCTTTTTCACTTAATAGTTGGTCTTTAGGGTACTACTATTTTTATAAACCTGAGATTTACTGTCTTTGCTTCAATTTTTTTTGCAAAATTAATAAAGTTTTACAAAAACAGTTATATATTATTCCCTAAAGATGAACCGTCTGACTCAGTACACCCTTAAAATTACTACTCCAACTGCAAATTGAAATTGGCTAATCCATAAATGTAAAAAAGTATGTAGAATATTGTATTTCAAATACTATGTAATCGTAAAGTCGCTACTGGCAGATTGCCTAAAACAAATAAAAAAGTGTGTAGAATATTGTTCAAGAAAACACGAACTTTTCTGCTTTTCTTCAGCTTTTATCTATTTTAACTGTGAAGAACAAGTTTCCAAAATACAAGTTTTTAAAATTCATCAATTTTTTCGAACTCGAAAATTTTTAGCAATTATTTGTTCTGCGGGGAAATTTTGAAAATCTATATTTCGAAAATGACGGTTCTGATCTCAAATTATGGCAAAATTAGTCTATTTTGAAAACGCATGGCGTAGTTATCAAAATCTTTCAGGGTTAACATTGTCAAAAACTGTAGACTTTTGGATTTTTGACAATATTAAAACTGAAGGTCGAACACTTATTTATTGGACTAAAATTGTAAACAACTCTGCAAAAAAATCAAAACTACCTGAACACCATTTAGGTGACCTATAGAATCGTTTTTTTTTTTTTTTAGCTAAATCGAGTAAGTCAAAGTAACCTAAAATACCTGTTAAGCAGTTCCTAGTCCTATCCCGATCGGAATAACCCAAAATTTATTTTGGTAATGGATAAAAAATTAATTTTTTCAGTTAGGTACTTTGTTTTTATTTAATAAATCATAAGAGTAATATTTTAATGGAATTACTTTAAAAAATGTCTCCCATTCAAGATATCGGCCGATCTTCTTCTTTTTTTTTTCGTTTATGAATGGCGTCCTAATTAATAGTTATATCGATATGCTGTATTAAATATTGTTCATTTGTGAAGGCGCAACTAAATATCAGCACAACACGAGCTTTACCATAGGCAACCCCATTGACGGTTTGTTTTTGTTCTGTCGATTTTATCCATTTGAAATGGAGGGAAGGTGACCATGATCAGAGCTCTTACATTTAACCTTTTTAATCTAATGCATGTAATTTTTTTTTAAAATAGCGGAATTTGTGTACCAATATATGTACGAGGTAAGCGCCAATAATTCCCGGCCTGACAATGAAGGAGGCAAAGTACAACAAGTTTTTATTATTTTTCAATGTAATCTCCCTTAACCTCAATGCACTTCTTACAACGTTTAATTAACAATTCAATCCCTTTAAAAAAATATTCTTTCGGTTTATCCTCAAAATGGGCCAAAACAGCTTCTTGTAACTCAAAATCGTCCCGAAAACGTCGCCCGCGAAGGTCCTAAACAAATAATAATCGCTGCGAGCCATATCTGGACTATAAGGAGGGTGATCTATATTTTGAAACCCGCAATCTAGGATGGCAGCTTGTGTAACACCAGCAGTATGAACGGGCGCATTGTCGTGCAACAACCGCACGCCTCTGGTTAATTCCCGCAACTTATGAAGTAATGCGGCATAATATGTGCCATTAACGGTGGTATTTGTCTCTTTAAAATCAATCATTAGGATTCCTTCACAATACCAAAAGATCGTAGCCATCACCTTTTTCGTTGATTGGCAGACTCTAAATTTTCGTGGGGGACTTCACCCTTACGGCGCCACTCCATTGGTTCCCTTTTCGACAGAGGATCATAACAAAGAACCATAGTTTCATCTCCAGTGACTATTGTTTCCAACACGGGGTTCGGATCATCTCCACACAGTTCCAAAAACGATCGAGCACACTCGACACGACGTTGCTTCTGAATCGCCGAAAGGTGTTTGGGCACCCATCTTGCACTAACCTTATGCATACCCAAATGATCGTGGAGGATTCGGCGAACAGTGGTATCAGAAAGCTTGGTCATTTCTGCAATTTCCTTGACCTTCAAACGTCGGTCACTTAGCACCAGGTTTTCCACAAGGGCCACTTTGTCCTCCGTTATCACCTCCACTGGCCGTCCAGGTCTTTCGTCATCTTCAAGGGATTCCTGACCCATGCGAAAACGTTTTGCCCATTCCTTCACTACCGAATAGGAAGGGGAACTTTGGCCATATACGCCATCGAGTCTTTCTTTAATAATTTTAGGTGTTAAGCCCTTCTTTTGTTAAAAATTTAATAACCGCTCTGTACTCAATTTTCGTCACCTGAGACATTTTCGGAGATACTTTAGTTCAAAATGCTGACAATTAAAAACTATTTGACGTAAGTCGCTTATTTTGTTACCACAGCCTACTAATGTTTGTAGTTATAAAATGTTAAACTTTTATCCTGATAAAATATCTGCAACTATGTCAGGCCGGGAATTATTGGCGCTTACCTCGTAACTTAAATTGACTACATTTATTTATGAATTTTATAAAATCGCTTCATTTCTATCAAGATTTTTTTAATTTCATTTAAAGATTATTTTAATATTTGTTTAATGTTTTAACGCAACAAATTAGTTTTGTCCATTCTCATTACAATTTTCTGAAAAAATAATTCCAGACAGCTTTTTTATTTTATATTAATTATACAGGAAATTTAATGCATGAGGTGAAGAATGTCGTATCAGTGTCTAAATTTTTTTATTAATATTTGGCTTTCAGCTTTACAAATCCATCATCATAGCCATCCTAAAAGATTTTACAAATTCACAGTAAAATGATTAACAATAAATTACCAAACTTACATCTAAAAGATACCACTATTAAATAGAATAAACATTTAGAAACATATAAACAAACATGTAATACATACATACAAAATTTCAAATAAAAATAAACGTAATAAATTTGTATTAATTAATAATATTACGTTAATTACCCGATCCCGCATCGCTGGAATATCTCAAACCTCAATTATTAAAACTAAATAACAGTTTTCGTTACTCGAGAATTTTTTCATGCAATGCCTGGAAATATTTTTTAAACAATTTTTATTAATCAATTTTCTTTGATTAATTTTTATTAATCAATTTTCATTGATTAATTTTTATTAATTTTTATTAATTTTTATTAATTTAATTGTTATTAATTTTTATTAATTTTTTTTAATTTTTATTAATTTTTATTAATTTTTATTAATCTTTATTAATTTTTATTAATTTTTATTAATTTTTATTAATTTTTATTAATTTTTATTAATTTTTATTAATTTTTATTAATTTTTATTAATTTTTATTAATTTTTATTAATTTTTATTAATTTTTATTAATTTTTATTAATTTTTATTAATTTTTATTAATTTTTATTAATTTTTATTAATTTTTATTAATTTTTATTAATTTTTATTAATTTTTATTAATTTTTATTAATTTTTATTAATTTTTATTAATTTTTATTAATTTTTATTAATTTTTATTAATTTTTATTAATTTTTATTAATTTTTATTAATTTTTATTAATTTTTATTAATTTTTATTAATTTTTATTAATTTTTATTAATTTTTATTAATTTTTATTAATTTTTATTAATTTTTATTAATTTTTATTAATTTTTATTAATTTTTATTAATTTTTATTAATTTTTATTAATTTTAATTAATTTTTATTAATTTTTATTAATTTTTATTAATTTTTATTAATTTTTATTAATTTTTATTAATTTTTATTAATTTTTATTAATTTTTATTAATTTTTATTAATTTTTATTAATTTTTATTAATTTTTATTAATTTTTATTAATTTTTATTAATTTTTATTAATTTTTATTAATTTTTATTAATTTTTATTAATTTTTATTAATTTTTATTAATTTTTATTAATTTTTATTAATTTTTATTAATTTTTATTAATTTTTATTAATTTTAATTAATTTTTATTAATTTTTATTAATTTTTATTAATTTTTATTAATTTTTATTAATTTTTATTAATTTTTATTAATTTTTATTAATTTTTATTAATTTTTATTAATTTTTATTAATTTTTATTAATTTTTATTAATTTTTATTAATTTTTATTAATTTTTATTAATTTTTATTAATTTTTATTAATTTTTATTAATTTTTATTAATTTTTATTAATTTTTATTAATTTTTATTAATTTTTATTAATTTTTATTAATTTTTATTAATTTTTATTAATTTTTATTAATTTTTATTAATTTTTATTAATTTTTATTAATTTTTATTAATTTTTATTAATTTTTATTAATTTTTATTAAGCTTGTCTTGCAAATATACCAAGACATAGTTTTTCATTGTATAAAGCAGAGACAACACGAGACGGTTAACTTCATAGCAAAAATTGATTGACATTTAGATATAGTAGTCATAAGGGTCAGCTGGTATTTTATCTTTGTCATGTACATTATTTCCGTATAACGTTATCTTGTTCTCATAAGCTAAAAGATAGGGTAGATGTCCCTGGTAACGTTCCAGCAATGTTGCCGTTATGAACATTTTCCAAATTTGTTTCTTTTACATTTAAATAATAATGATCTTATTTATCCATAAGTAATACTTATATTGGACTTTTAATTTTTTTGTATATAATATATATAACAAAAGATGTGTTTTAAGAAATATATAGCAGGATTGTGTACAAAGATCAAAAATAAAAAGTTTTGGGTAGCTAACTACTGAATGCTAGAAGGCCAATAACAGCAAGAGCATTTCACTTTGACGTCTGCCAGATTGACGTATTTCTAACCTGTCTTTTTATCTCCTAGTCCTATTTTTTTTGTTGGTTTGGTGTCGTTTTATTCTCGTTTCGTTTTACTTATATATATTTTACAATTTAACTTGTAAATT